CTGCCGCTGTGCGGGAGCCGCTGGGGGTGTGGGGGCAGCCGCAGCTCGCCCAGGGATCTCGGTGTGGTGGAGCTGGAGAACCTGACCAAGCGTGAGTGTTGCGCTGCTGTCTGTCCGCTGGCCTGTACCCTCTGTTGGGCCTCAGGGGCTCTGGTCCTACCTCGCAGCTCTGAGGCTGTGACATCTCCAGAGCCAGGGACTTCCTGTGGCCTCATGTCGGTTCTGCCCCGGGTGGTACCACACACACCTCTGTCCCTGTGAGGAGGCTGCAGGTCCTGGGGGAGGCGGGTGCTGCCCAAAGCAGCCTGGGTCCGGCTTTGTTCGCATCCCCTGCCGAGAGCCTGGTGGCCGTTCTGCTCCCTGCTCTGATGCGGAGCGGTCCTGGCAGACAGGGCACTCAGCATCATCGCTCCCTCCACCAGTGAATGAGCTGTGGTCGGTGCTGCCCAGCCCCAGGGGGAACGAGGATGGAGTCCCGGACACAACCACCTCCTTACCCAGCAGCAGCCATAGCCCACGCCACAGGGCAGTGTGGAAGGAGCAGGACAGCCAGTCAGCCAGCACAGTGGCCCTCGCGGGGAGCATGCTGAGCGAGGGCCAGGACACATCCTACAGGTGCGCTGGGGCTGCTGTGCTGGGCAGGTGGTGGGGACTGGCACGTACCCTTCCGAACAGCCTTCCCAACGCCCACTGTACCGGGCAGGGACGTGGCGACATCCCCTTTTGGGCTCCTGCCCTGAGGCCCTGTGTTTGTCTCCAGGGAAGGCATCAACATCGAGGTGGAGGTGTCAATCGAAGCTGTGCCACATCCTGCCCGGGAGCAGAGCCTGTGCAGCGTGCTGTCAGGGCAGAGTCTCTCCGGGGACTCCCTGGGCGGCAGCAGCGACAGGAGCAGCGCCGTGGGCGTCCCGGCAGAGTGAGGGGACTACAGCACTGAGCTGGTCTGGACCCTCCATGCACAGAGCCCCCCCTGGGCTCCCACCTGCCCCTGACACAAAGATCCCATGCCCTCCTGTGGCAGAGCTGGTCACGCTCTGTGTGGCACCACCAGCCCCCTGAACTGGGTCCCAGCAGTCCCCAGGCTGGGCGGGCACTGACGGCACCCAGCCCCATCCACCCCTTCCCTGAAGGCAGTCTTGAGCATTGGCACCACCGGGAAATAAAACAACTCTCTGAGGGTCTGTCTGTCTCCTGCAGCGCAGAACACCCCGGCAGCACAGCCCCCTTCACAGCGTGCTCCGATCTGTGGCGCGTTCCCCAGACGGGCGCTGCGGGAGAG